GCCGGCCTGGCCCTCTGACTGCGGGGCTGCTTTGGGGGTGCCGGGGCGGCGGCGTGCCCAGGGCCGGGACACCGCTTGCTGCCGGACCCCCGGGAAGTGCCCCAGCACCTGCTGACCGGCCCGCGGCTCTGGACAGGCCGGGTGTGCGTGGCCACGGGCGTGGCCTCCGCTGGGGCCTGCTAGAAGGCGCGAGATCCCGAAGGCCTGGGCTGGCCGAGCCGGGGTCCCCCAGCATCAATTAGGGGCGGCCGAGCTGCCCCGTGCCACGTGCAGAGGGAAGGAGGCGGCTGCGCGGCCCCTCACTGGTCCTGTGGGAAGCTGTGGGGTTCCCGGTAGGAGCTGGCGCCGAGCCAGGCGCCCCGCGGGGGGGGGGGGGGGCAGAGCGCGGCACCCCACAAACCCTGGGGCCCAGCACCACAGCCGCCGCGCCTGCACTCAGGACCCGCCACAGCCACGCCGGCCACACGCCCCTCAGCCCCGCGTGCCTCCGTGCACAAAGGCCAGAGCCAGGAGCTGGCCAGGGTCCTCGAGGCAGAACCAGCAGGCACCCCAGAGGACACAGCCCCCGAGATCCAGGCCGCAGGGGGTGCAGAAGTGGCTCCAGTGGCCTCCTGGGAAGCATCCGCGCCGGCTGTGCAGTCGGGCCACCCCGACAGGCAGGGTCGGATTTGGAGGACACCCCTCAGGCTGGGGACCTCTGAGTGCACGGCCAGGGGCTGCCCAACCCCGCCCGCCACGGCACGCAGAGGGGTGTCCAGAGCCCCCAAACTGCAGCATGTCCCGAGAGGCCTGCCTAGGTGGGGCCCCGTCGGGGGCTGGCCCAGGCCCACCGAGGTCTCCCCCCGGGGAGTAAGAAAGGCGTCCGGCGGGGCAGACACCCCGCAGCACTGGCCCGAGGACGCCTGCTGACCCTGTCGGGCTGCGCCGGACGTTCCAGGCCACGGCGGGGCCCTAGGGCAGCGGCCAGGCACGAGCGGGGGCTGGCTGGGCTTGGGGAGCGCTGCCCCTCGCAGCCGGGGGGGCCCAGGGCCTGTGTCCTGGGGCAGCGGCACGACCCCTAGCCAGCCAGGGCGCAGGGAAGGCAGGGCCGGGGAGACAGTCCGGGCTGCGTGCCCAGCCCCCGGCTGAAGGGCCAAGGGGAGCGGACAGCACGGGGCAAGCGGGCTGGGCAGGCAGGGCCCGGGGCCTGCGGGGCCGCAGCACAGCCGCCTGCCCACTGGCCTGCGGCCGGAGCCCAGAGCCCCTCGCGCGCCCGTCCTGCCTCCCGGCTCCTCGCAGGGCCCCACAGGGACCCCCGGGAGCCCTGAAGCCCGCCGGGGGTCAGAGTCCGCGCGGAGCAGCTTGGGCAGCTCTGGGACGCGCCCGGCCTTTTCCCTGCCCTGACGGTGCCGCCAG